CCATAAATAAATGGATTTAATTCAGTTAGTTTTACAGATGCTGAGCTACATTTTGTGTGTTAGTACTGGTTGCGGAGTCATTCTCATCACATTCCCCAAGTGCGATCACATCTTGCAAGTTCTAACAATGTCACAAGATTGTGCATTACATCATTTACAAGGTTTGACCAAAACTGCTATAACTCTGTCACTTCTCAGCATAAGACGATCTTAGCTTAATTCTCTGGCATTTAATCATGACTGTGACCTTTAAACCTTGAGTAAAGCTGGATTCATAGTCCATGAGTAGTCGAGCGGTCGTCTCTTGTTGTGAAACATTTTTTTCTGCATGACGATTCTATCTTCTACAAGAAACTGCAATGTAAAACTCCTGGGAACCCCTGTGTTCCCTAAGGGTCTCCACTCTTCCTTCCCTGTACATATTTTTGCTTCCCTTACTGCAACCAGACAACTTTTTATGCAGACTGAGATAGAAAACACTGATTGGCATGTGCATATTTGTCACAAAAAAGATTACTGCCTTTTTTCAACAAACAGTTCACAATACTGAGCAAACGTAGAGGACGTGTCTGTACACTGTCCGGCCGAGGCATGCTCCCTCCCGGCTAGCACAGCCACGGAGAGCCGCCTGTGTCTCCATGTGGTCTTCTCACATTGTGCTATCTCCTTCCACAGTTCTTAGGGTGCATTCACACCGCCCCTGTTTAGTCCGCTTTAATCGAACTCTAGTCCATTTGCCTAGAAAGTCCGGTTCGTTTGGGGAGGTGTGAATGCGCAATTGAACTCTGATACAGACCAATAAAGCGAACTCTGGTCCACAATGTAGGTTTCGATTCGGTTGAAGTGAACTCTGGCGCGGTTCGAATGCAGTGTGAATGCAAGCGGACCGGAGATCGCTCCAAAAGCAGGAAGTGCAGGGCAAACAAACACGCATTTCTCTTCCCTCATACGAAGCCATCAGCCACCTTGTGTGAAAAACAACATTCTCCCGCTCATGCTGAGTCCATCCATCCATCCATCCATCCATCCATTTTCTTTACCCGCTTATTCCATTTTGGGTCACGGGGGTCGCTGGTGCCCATGTCCAGCAATCACTGTGCGAGGGGCGGGGTACACCCTGGACGGGTCGCAAGTCTATCACAGGGCCACACAGAGACAAACGAGACAAACAACCATTCACTCTCTCACAACACCTAGGGACAATTTAGAGTTACCAATCAGCCTAACATGCATGTTTTTGGTCTGTGGGAGGAAACCGGAGCACCCAGAGAAAACCCACGCATGCACGGAGAGAACATGCAAACTCCACCCAGAAAGGCCCCTGGACCGGGGTTTGAACCAGGGACCTGCTTGCTGAGAGGCAGCAGCTCTACCAGTTGCGCCACCGTGCTGCCCTGTTGAAAAATAACAAAACAGAAATCCTAAAACCACTAAAATTTGATGCCACTCCGTTTTTGTTTTTATGTCCAGAAAATGAAATGTCCTCTTCAGAGGTTTTCGTGTCATTTCCTTCAGTAGTTCTTGGTGCAGCGCCACCACAGGGGAAGGGGGGAACAGGTTGGCTCGACTAACTCAGTGCAATGTAAACGCGAACCACACCAGCTGAAATGTAAACAAATGTTATGAATATTGGTCCCCAATAGAACAAAGTCTACCGGACTATCAGGTATGAAAACACCCATAGACTATCTTTATATGAGTTAGAAGTTTTGCTGGAGTAGTTGTAAAGATGGCCGTATTTTCTAGCAGCCTCTGCCAGCTGTCAGAAGTTTTAAAAAGTTGCATTGTGTAAATATTAGTAAGATTTTGTCTCCAACTACTGCAGTTTCTTGCCATGATAAATGACATTAGGAGCCGTTTGTTACAATAAACTCTTTGCTTTAAATATTCACTTCTGTGTTTCTGCCTTTTTCATCTCTAGCACAGCTTTCCTGTGTCTAATCTTTTCATTCTGTATTCACAGTTTAATCTTTTAAGTTACACTTTGTAAAGATCAAAAACATCAGTTTGTCGTATGTAAGTGTGGAGGACTTCTGGAAGTTGCTGCACAATCACACTACACCTTAAAACTACTGTTGTCATAGTTAGAGGTACAAGTTGAGCATTTGAACCAGTAGATGACGTACCTAACTGAAAATGTCTTGTTTTGAAAACTCTGCTTTCTGAAGGCTTTTTCATTTCATGCAAGCTGTTAATGTTTTGTGTAATCACTGTGTGTTTTGTGTTTTGGTGGAATCCAGGTATTCTGCTGCAGCAGGGTGGGTCCGTAGTCATGAAAAATGGGGAAAATCCGTACAATTTACGGAAATTCTGTAAGACTTGACATGTATGTGCTGGACAGGTCATCCTGTAACATAGCTCTGTTGGTCAATCAACGGCTTCTGCTTGAAATCGTCACCTGGGAGCAGTTCGCTTGAGCCACAAATAGTCAGAGTCAGAGAGTCAGGGTTTCTTTATTTGTCATTCACACCACAAGTGGTACATGTGGTGGAACGAGATTGTGCACTCAGGGTCCCAGTTACATCCAACAATAAAATGTAAAAGAAAAGCGGTAATAAGATCTAAGATATGAATTTAGAAAAACATCAACTGAAAAATATGTTAAGCGCAAATGGCATTAAAAAAAAAAACAATACGCTGAACAGCAGCACGAACATGAGTCTGTGTGAGCAGGTGAGCACGAATGAACACAGCAACATGAAATAGATCAGCAGTAACATGAAATAGATCAGCAGCAACATGAAACAGATCAGCAGCAACATGTGATTTTTCACAGTGATTATCCTGGTTAGATATTCATGAGGAACAACCTCAGGGTAGAAGCTGTTCCTCAGTCTAGTGGTTCTACACTTAATGCACCTTAACCTCCTTCCTGAGGGGAGCGGGGCAAAAAGTGAGTGTGCTGGGTGAGTGGGGTCCTTCATGATGCAGGTAGCCCTCTTCCTGCATCTAGAGGTGTAAATGTCTGTGACGGTGGGGAGGCGGACTCCAACAGACTTCTGTGCAGCCTTCACCACTTTCTACAAAGCTTGTCTTTCTGCAGCTGTGCAGCCTCCATGCCACACGTTGATGCTGGAGCACAGGATGCTCTCCACTGCACACCTGTAGGAGGTGGTGAGGACTGAGCTTCCCAGACCAGTTTGCCTCAGCCCCCTGAGGAAGTAGAGTCTCTGATGAACTTTCTTGATAAGGCTGATAGTGTTGTTGCCCCAGCTGAGGTTGTCATTCAGGTGCATACCCAAGTACTTGTAACTGGAGACCACTTCCACCACAGATCCTCCTATGTTCAGGGGGGTAGGTGTGTTTGTTCCTTCTGAAATTCACGACCATCTCCTTCGTCTTCTTCACATTATTGTGAAGGTTATTCTCCTTGCACCAGCTCTTAAGTGGTCCCATAAACCGGAGTGGGTACTGGCAGTGGACCGGGCCTTAACTGGTGCAGTGTAGTGTGGAACCGATGAGTGTAGAAACTGTGGCAAAGCACCATATGTCATTAAAACTGATTGGCACAGTTTTATAATGGTATTGTAGTTCCTCTTTGCAGTGTTTCCCCAAGTGGGGTGCCCCGTTAACAGAACCGAGCGCTCCGCCTACCAACCCCCCTCCCGACATTTGTTGGTATTGATTTCATGCTGGGCGCAATACAAACGTGCTAGCAAAAATGCTACTGACGTACTGCACCTTCCCACGCTCCCAACAATTACCAGCAGTAACATAGCGCTAAATACTGATGTGCGCCCCCCCCGATTAAAAACTGGCAGCAATGTAGCTAAGCTAGCAGGCAACACATATGTGATGACTCCGTCCCCATTCCCCCACCCCCCGTTACTCTGGCGTCGATAAAAATTGGCAGCAACATAGCACTAAACTAGCAGGCGGGCAACACATACGTGACTCCGTCTCGTCCTCATCCCCCCCACCGCTACAGAGATATATGACGAGCGTCCCGCCATGGGAACTGGTCTAGGGGAAACACTGCTTTGGTTTCAGTATAATTTCTAAGTAGGGTGTTGCGTTAAAATTACTTTTTGCCTTTGTGTTTGCATTGCAGATGATGCTCATATGGAAAATAATTATAAGGTCAAAAGGCCTGTTAAAATGTGTGTTATGAATTGGTGATATACCAGAATACCAGATTTTTTTTTTTGTACATGGCTTCAGAAAAGTTTCACATTTCTGCTTATAAACAATATGCCACCATACAACAAATACTAATAAATGGGGAGTGGTGGCGCAGAGGTTAGAGAGGTAGGCTTGTGATCCGAAGATCGCCAGTTCACGCCCCGGCCCCGACAACATCAAAATTGTGGGTGGGGTAGGTGAAACACCCACACTTGCCCCCACCCTCATTCGCCCCACTCTGGGCCCATGAGCAAGGCCCTTAACCCCCACCATGTGCTCCCTAAACAGGTCTCTCTTGAAAATGAGTTCTCGTGGCTCAATGAGACTAACCTGGATAAATAAAGGCTAAATGAAAAAAAAATTAAAAAAAATGAAAATGCACAGTTTCTAAATATTTACTACATTTGTATTTTAGTAAATTTGTCTACTTGTGAATTCCATAATAATTATTGTTGCTACTTTTAGTTGTGGTGGAAACTTACATTAAAGATCTGTAGAGGAGGATTATTAGAGGTAGAAGTGAGCCACTGTATGGTGTATGGACAAAACTAAGCTTATTAGAGCCTACTTTCCCTTCAAGTCATCTCTGTTTATCTCTATTTATGATTTATATGGTTTCTTTTTGAAGTATACCAACATAAAAGCTTACAAAAATCAAATGCTGTACTCAGGGAAACAATATAAGTCTTGACTTTTTTTTGGATGCTGCTGACTTGTTTTCTTGTAGATGCTGGGTTAACCGTATAAATGTCTCACTTGAACAATGCAGCCTAGTCTTGATTAGCTATTATATACACACACAGTCTGCTTATTGTTTTATTTTTTTTGTTTGTTTGGGGGGGGTTAAGCTGATTTTCTTGCTGTGTTTGTGTTAACAGCAACATGAACCGTGAGGACCGGAATGTGCTCCGAATGAAAGAAAGAGAAAGGAGAAATCAAGAAATCCAACAGGGAGGAGGAGAGGCCTTTCCAGCTAATTCCCCCCTCTTCCCTGAACCCTATAAAGTTGTAAGTTTGTTTAAAGTATAATTCACAGTTGGCATGTCATTGATCTGTTATGAGGAATATGCAACTCTGACAGGAAGTGAACGCTGCACCGTCAGAAGTCTTTATAGATGTGCAGCATTGTTTGTGTTCTTGTTTACTGTTCGAGTTATGAAACATAAAATGATCAGGATAGGATTCAAAAAGCGTTCAATACAAAAACAACTGGACTTTATTTGTTTGTCCAGTTGTTTTTGTATTGAACGCTTTTTGAATTCATCATGTCCTGGATGACTGAGAATCTTCACCAGCATCAGGATAGGATGTTTTGTTTCAACTAGTCTGAAAGTTTACTGGTTGTGTTTTCTTTATCTTTATTTATTTCAATGATTTAACACATTTAAAAAAAAAAAAAGTAAACTTGCAGAGCATGAAGTTATGTCAAAGTCAAAGTTTCTTTATTTGTCATTCGCACCACATGTGGTACATGTGGTGGAACGAAATTGTGTACACAGGGTCCCAGTTACATCCAACAAAAGTATAAATTGTAAAGAAGAACAGTAATAAGATCTAAGATGTGAACTAAGAAATATGCTAAACTAAGAATACGCTAAGGACTAGCACAAAAACAGTATGTAAATCATATGTAAATGTGTATGTACACATTTGTATTTATTGTGTACATGTATGCACACACATGTACATAATGTACAGTCAGGTCTGTCTTGTAAATGAGTCCTCGAAGCTCAATGGGATTTACCTGTCTAAATAAAGGTTGAATGAAAAAAATGTAAATCATTATGTAAATTATAACGAAGTGCTAGGTACTTATGTGTGGTTTGAAGAATAAAATTACCCAGTTGTGTCACTATTAGTAATTAGCTAAATGCACAAAATCCAAAACAGTCTGTTGATGGTTCAAGTTCTTGATTTGCTGTCTTGTCGCACAGCTGTTATTAGTAAACAAAACAAGACACGATCTCTTAGCTGCACTTCCTCCGTTTTCTAACGCTTGTGCTCACAGACGCAGATATAGGCCAGCCAGCTCCTGCTAGCCAATTTAATCTTAAAAAGGATTTAGGTTCTCTGAACTGGTCTAATCTTTGCCACTAACCAGATTTGAGCAGCTGTAAGTGGCTCCTCTCCTTAGCTAGTTTTAGCCATCAAAGAGGCAGTGAGGAATGTGTCCTGACAGGTTGGGAGTAGAAAAGCCACCAGAGGTGTATGTGTGTGTGTTTGGACAACAACAAAGTGAAAAATAAAAGCTGACATTAAAGACAGAAAAGTCCTTGACCTTTACCAATGAGAAAGACGTGCTGCAAACAATTTTACTCTGCATTTTGTTTGTTTTCCAAGAAACTTGTATCTGTGTATACACACTGTGCACATTGAATTTGGAAAAAGCAAGCTGTAATGGCAAGCTTTCTGTACTTTTTATCTCTTTTCTACAGCTTGTGTGAGTTTTATGTAAGTGTACATTTGTCTTTCTGAATGTCATGCTCCACTAAGTAGAAGTTTACAGCATTGAAGACCATGTGTGCACACAGCTGCAACTGTGGCCTCTCAAATGTAGACCAGCGCAGCAGTAGCATGTTTATCGTGCAAAGTTTGCACAGCTTATTCATCTACTTGGAATGAACACTGTTAAGTTATCCCATAAGTTTTATTTGTATGAAAATAATCTAATTTTGTATTTTATCACAATTCTGTACCAACTATATGGAATCAAAGATTACTATCGAAGTCAAGAATAACTTGTACAAAGAAGGCTCTGTAAAACAAACTGCGCCTAGATCTAAGGAGACAGAGAAAAAAAATGATTTGGCACAATATGTGTCAAAGGATACTGCATCGTAAACACAAAGATCAAGAAAATAAACACTATGGTAATAAGTGTATTATTCTTATAAGAGTGTTATCCATCCATCCATTATCTTTACCCGCTTTTTCCTTTTTGGGTCATAGGAGTCACTGTTGGCGGAGTACACCTTGGACAGGTCTCCAGTCCATTACAGGGACACATACAGATAAACAAGACAATTTTATTTTATTAACCTTATTTAACAAGGCAAATCGCACTGAGATCACAGATCTTTTTTGCGAGGGAGGCCTGGGCCTGAAGGCAGCCTAACATGCATGTTTTTTGTTTGTGGGTGGAAACCGGAATACTCGGAGAAAACCCACGCATGCATGAGAAGAACATGCAAACTCCACACAGAAAGACCACAGGTCCAACCGGGGATTGAACCCAGGCCCTTCTTGCTGTGAGGCAACAGTGTTAACCACTGAGCCGCCGTGCTGCCAAACAACCATTCAGTCTCTCACTATCACCTAGGGACAATTTAGAGTTACCAATCAGCCAATCATGCATGTTTTTGGTCTGTGGGAGTAAATTGGAGTACCCCAAGAAAACTCACGTATTCACAGAGAGAACATGCATCCAGAAAGGCCCCGGCCGGGATTTGATCCGGCAACCTTCTCGCCGAGCGCGAACACCTCTACCAACTGTGCTACTGTGCTACTACCTAAGTGTTACGTTTGAATAAATTGTTTATAAACGTTTATTCCTGGCTAATGAAAGTTGCTGCTGCCAAGCTAAAACAAGTTAATGTTTTACAAGTTACTTTAGGTTTCGGCTTTAAAAACATTTTGTTTGAGAAAGTTTTTAGTATTTGTATTTTTTTTTTTTTGGTGTGTTACAAAAGTGCTATAAAATGAGCACAGCACACAACTCTGTAGATAATTTGTGCATTCAGTTTTTTAAACTTCAAAATGCCTGTATTTTTCTGCAATCACAGTGTTGTAATTTGTCTTTGTAAACAGATTCTTTGCTAAACAGTGTTGTTTACAGTGCTTCTAATTTAAACATTTCTATCAATTTGCTTGGAGTTACAAATCAGTTACCAATTGTATTCTTTTAGTGATAAACCTGAATGAAAACATTATACAGCATCTTGTTTTTCTGTTCATTTGGAATTAGATGTGCTCAAATAAAGCTTATTTATGTTCACACTACAAACTGGAAACGGTGAGCTGGAGGAGAAATGAATCCACAAACGAGAGCCTGACCATGCTAGCAGGAGGTAGTAGAGTACACGTTGTGACCAAGTCACTTGCATTTCCTGCTGCAGCTAACTGCCTGTGTTTCCACACCCTCAGTGTAAATCTGTCAAACTAAACAGAGGTGTCAGACTGCGTTTGAAATTGGAGACTCTGCACAGGCTGCAACCAGGTTGACTGGAACCTCAAAGTGATTGATTAACCTCAGTGTTGGAACTGTGGGTTGACCCGTTTGTTAGTTCAGATGAGTTTAAACTATTCTGGGCTCAGTTTACACTGACTCTGTGTGGCTGATGGGGCCTCTCACACTTTTCTTTTGTCAGTAAATTGTTTTAAATCTAGAATTAAGAGATAAAAATATATCCATCCATCCATCATCTTTACCCACTTCTTCCTTTTTGGGTCGTGGGGTCACTGGTGCCCATATCCAGCAGTCACTGCGTGAGAGGCAGAGAACACACTGAACCGGGTGCAAGTCCATCACAGAGACAAATGAGACAAACAACCACTCACACCTAGGAACAATTAGTTACCAATCAGCCCAACATGCATGTTTTTGGTCTGTGGGATGAATCCGGAGTAGCCGGAGAAAACTCACACATAAAAAAAAAAATATATATATATATATATATATATATATATATATATATATATATAATCTGTCCCTGCAGTTTGTGTTTTATAATTTCAGTTTTCTTCTGTGGGTTCTCTCTTCAGGTCAGCAAAGAAGATAAACTGTCGAATCGTATCCAGAGCATGCTGGGTAATTACGACGAAATGAAAGAACCCATTGGTGACACACTTCCAAAGCTCGGAGGGAAACCTTCGAACAGCTCGTCTTCCTCTGAAGAGAAATCTGGCCCGCCTTTATTTGGCGGGGACCAGCGCAGTGTTGGTAGTGGTGGTGGGAGCCAGAGCAGTAAGTGGACTCCTGTTGGCCCAGCAGCGAGTGGGTCTTCATCCCAATCCCAGAAACGCTCTGGACTCCCTGGTGGACACAGCAGCCAGAGGAGCAACGGCGGCAGTAGCGGCAGCAGCAACAGTAGCCAAAGAGGTGAAGTGCGAGAAAAAAAGTCAAGTAAACACAGCGGAGGATCAGATCATTCAAAGTCACACACATCAAGTCCGGCCAAGGGTTCTCTGAGTTCCTCCAGCAGCCACTCGCGGAGCTCCTTGTCCACCGAGCAGCATCACGGCAAGGAGCGCTATCGTTCCAGATCTCCAAGAGACAGAGAGGCCAACTGGGACTCCCCTTCACGGGTTCACACCACCTTCTCCAGTGGGCAGCACTCGAGTCAGACTTTTCCTCCTGCTCTCATGTCCAAGCCCAACTCCATGCTGCAAAAGCCCACAGCTTATGTGCGGCCTATGGATGGGCAAGAAACTGCAGAAGCTAAGAGTTCTCAAATGGAAAGCTACAGCGGACAGTCACACAGCAGCACCATAGGAGATGTGAAGCCCAACGGCAAGGCTTCGCTAACCAAACTCAAGATCCCCTCACAGCCTGTAGAGGTAAGGCTCAATCTAAAGGACATCAGTCTTCTAAGGTTCAAAATGAATCAACATGCAATGGCTTTGTGAGTTTAGTTTGCACTGAAAGTTTATCAGTTAAAAGTTTTGTCTGTAAACAGTTAGGTGCCCATTTAATTATTGCATCAGGGCTTAATTTATGTGCTTCAGCTGTAGGATGCATTTTGTTTTGCCTCCTTAATAAAGGATTCAAGGTTCTTTATTTGTCATGCCACATGTGGTATATGAGGTGGAACAAAATTGTGTACACGGGATCCCAGTTACATCCAACAGAAGTATAAAATGTAAAAGAAAAACAGTAATAAGATCTAAGATATGAACTAAGAAAAACGTTAACTAAAAATACACTAAGCACTAATAGTATAAATACCAATACAATATACCAGGGGTTCTCAAACTTTTTGGGTTCAGGGACCCCCTCATAACCCTCATATTTATTAAATAATTGTCTTCAATTTATCTCTTTAATGCAATGGAAGTATTTGTGTAACATACATATTTAAGACCTGTTCTTTAATAGTGCTAATACAATTTTTATGTTTTTAAACATGGGGTATTTTTCATTCAAGACACATTTAACAACATTTTTAATTTCAACTTCCAAAAATTACAGTTTTGAGAAAATTAACAGCATCAAAAACCAATTTATAACTTTACCCATTCACTTAATGAACATAAATGTATTAGAACTTCTTCATAATATTACAGAAAACTCTTTACATAAAACTGAACAGAATTATAACAGCAGTAGTCACACCAAGTAACAGGACTTAATTTGTAAACTGATCAATGCTGGAACACAAATAGGGGCTGGGTTGGTCTGGGGGGTCCTCCACCAGAAAATGTTGAAAAAAGTAGATTTGATTTCCTGCATTTTGGTGTATTTTAACAGGTTGATAAACATCTACATGCTTGTAAACAAACAAACTATATATATATATATATATATATTTATTTATTTTCCGGACCCCCAAGCACTGGCTCGCGGACACCCAGGGATCTGGGAACCCCAGTTTGAGAACCACTGCTTTAAACGCACATCTGAAAAGAATCTCTTGATGACCATGAACTGGAGCAATAATTAAACAAGTCTCAAAGTTCAGTGACACACCTTGTGTGTGCAAACCACATCTGAAGTTATCAGTAATTTGAATTTAAATACACATTGTATCCATATGCTTCACTTCTTTTTATTGAAAAACTTTGCTTGTTACACATGAGCTGAATGAACTCTTAGGTCTCCTAAAAGGCCTTTCGGATGACGCGTCACACTGAAAATAGAAGCCACCTCTCACCTGTTGTACTGGGGTTATGCTTATGAACATGTCTGCTAAGCATGTTTCTGTCTGTAGGGCTCCGGTGATCCAAACTGTGTTGATGAAATTCTGAAGGTATGTGTTTTTTTTTTTTTTGTTCTACACTAGATCTACTGTCATACTAGCAGTGCATTAGGAGTGTGAAGAAAGAAGCCAAGGAGAAATATTTCAACATCAAACCTGATCTCCACATTTTTTCCCCTTTCTTTTTTGAATACAGGAAATGACTCAGTCGTGGCCCCCTCCACTCACAGCCATCCACACTCCCTGCAAAACCGAACCCTCCAAGTTTCCATTCCCCACCAAGGTCAGCATTAAGCCAGCAAGTTTGTTACTGAATCAAACAATTGTGTTGTTATGGATTAATAAGTAAATATTTATTTTTATTGCACACAAACCTTGCTTATATAACACATGCAGCATCCAAACTTTGTTTTTAACAATCAGGAGACTTTCTGACTTATTTGAACTTGTCAGTGAACTGACTTCAGTGCTACTAACATAAATCCTATTTATTGGTTAACATACTTGATAGATTTTATGATTGAGAAAGAATAAAAATACTACTTCATAAAAGTGATAGTTTTTTTTTTTATTGTTTTTCCTTTTACATCAGGATACACATGCCTTTTCAAGTGGAAACAGTGAGTGTCATACTTCATATTCCATCCTGCATGTAAAACAGTAAATTATTTTTGCTAATCTTTTAGTTATGTATGAATATACACACATTTATGATATATATATTTATACATGCTCCTTTGTCTGTTGCAGAGAGAGGCAGCTCATCTAAGAGCTCCAGCAGCCAACAGCCTAAAGACTGCAGCGACCCTCCCACGTAAGGGCTTCATTTTTTATGATTAATGTTCTCCTTGCATTACTTCACAATGAAGTTTAGAGAAAAAACACAAAAATCAAATATCTTGCACTTCAGAAGCCTACTGAAAATAAAAATCTACAACATAAAACTGCAGCAATAATACAGTTTTAACTGAAATGGTCTACATTTTGTATTTCCAGTATGCTGAAAGAAGATTTGATAGTAAGCAGCAGTGAAGACAGTGATGGAGAACAAGATGCCAAGAATGCCTCAAGGAACACGTCAGCAAGGTGAAGTGCAAAGAGTAAAATGTTTGTTTGGTTAAATTTATTTAAAAAGTATTCGATTTACTTAAATGATTTTTAAGGAAAGTGATTTTTTTTTTTTTCTTTGTCAATTCTGTTTGAATAAAAATCATATTTTCGTTTTAGAAGAGTTTGCATAGACTGGGTTGTAAGATCTTTCAAGTGAAATCACAAAACTCTAGCAGTATTGCTGCCAGGTGTTTTACTTTGACAAGATATTGAATCAATAAACAGCTTATACTCTTTTATAACCTAACAAATTTCAAATTGAAAGATAAGTACAGTCGTCCCTCACTACATTGCGGTTCACTTTTTACGGCTTCACTATGGTGTTTTTTTTTTTTAAACCCAGTTTTTTATATTGTGTGTACTGTACCTGCTGTGCACTACTGTACATTCATTTATCATCTTTATCGCAATCGCCAGTGTTTAAGTCCAAGTTGTTGAAGTTGTGTTTTTGTCACATGCAGGTTAACACTTGGTTAACAGTACAATGAAATGCTCAGGATGGGAAGAACCGATTCGACTCGCTAACAAAAATCAATCAAACAAACAAACAAACAAGAAGTAGTTGACATTAACTTGATAACTTGATTGACATGAACATATACTACACAGGTTGTGTGACAGGTTATTGTGCAGGTAGTGATTGACATTAAGATTGAATTATTAAGAATTTAATTATTATTGAATATAATTTAATTATTATTATTTAATTATTAAGAGCATATGTTTATAAGAGAGTGGGAAGGGTTAATAAAGCCTTAAATGTATATATACAGTGTTCCTCCTACCATTATATAAGCAGGGCGCCCCCCTACCCAACCGAACTGCGCGTCAAACCGAACCACCACCCACATCGGCGCTGACGTAGCACTAAGCTAGTTGCGTGCCTGTACAAGCACGCTAGCTAAAAAGCTCAAGGCAGCACTCATGGATAAAATGAGCGCCTCGCCATGGCAAGTTATCTAGGGGAAACACTGACATAATACCCCTGCAGTAGATTTTCACCTACTGTGGGGTTCTCTGGAACATAACCACCGCAATAAATGAGGGACCATGGGGACCAAGATGGTGTTGGGGCAGGGCAGCTGAATCGGGACCCGAAGGTCCTTGGTTCGATCCCCGGTCATTGCTCATCTTATGGTGTCTCTGAACAGGACACCTAATCCCGAATTGCTCCCCGGGTGCTTACATAGCTGCCCACTGCTCCACCTGGGTGTATCCCAGGTGCGATGGGTTCAGTGCAGAGAGTCAGTTTCGTCTTTGTATGGGAACATACAGTGATGACAACACATAGCACTTTATTTAGTTATACTGAAAGCTCTAGACCTGCTTGAATACAACATTAAAAAAGGCGTTTCTAACTTTCAACGTAATTGTTTTCGGCATGTGTAACACAGTCGGTTATGCTGTTTGTTTGACTCGAAGCACCGTTTGTCTCTGTTTGTTTAACAACAGCAATAACAGCGAAGCAGCTGAACCATCCAGGGATGACTCCAGCAGCCACAGCGGCTCAGAGAGCAGCTCGGGCTCTGACAGCGAGAGTGAAAGCAGCACGACTGACAGTGAAGCTAACGAGCACCCACGACCTGCTTCTCCTGAAGTAATTGTATATTCATCATTTCGTGCACTGCTATAACACTACTTTAGGGCTCATTTGTTACAGTGGTGGAAGTGTTTTTAAATATTCACTATTCTTCCTTAGCTTTTTAGTGATATTTACTGTTTGCTCTCTAAGACAGTGTCTTAATTGTAGTCTTTTACTGTACTCCTCAGCCTGAGCAACCCATGGCCAACAAGTGGCAGCTGGACAACTGGTTCAAGAAGACCAAGTTCTCTCCCGCTTCCCCCGTAGACAATAACGTCCCGTCAAAATGTAAAAAAGAGAGCCGGGCAGCGCCGCCTCCAAGCAGGGACTTGCGAGCGCCGCAAAAAGGTGCAGAGGGCGGCCGTCAGAAATCCCCCGCCCAGAGTAACGGCAGCACAAATCCTCGGAACCGAGTGGGTAAAAAGCAGCCTAAAAAATCAGAAAAGCTTCCTGTGGTGGAGGAACCAAAAGGGGGTCTAAAAGTGGAGAGTGAGCCAGCTCCAGAGATACCTCCCCACCAACCCAAAGCTGCCACTAAGGGTTCCCGGAAGCCAAGCATCAAAAAAGAGCCCAAATCCTCACCCAGGCCCTCTGCGGCCACCGTTACCACCCCTACAGACAAACGCAAGACCAAGCCTCCGCAGTCTCGTGAAATTATTAGTACAGACTCCTCATCGTCAGATTCTGAGGGGAATGACAGCATCCTCTCCTCGTCACAGACGCCCAAATACACAGAGAGTATCAGGACCCCCGTGTGTGTGTTTTCTCCTGTGGAAGAGAAAGAGCTGCTGTCTCCTCTCAGTGAACCTGAAGAGCACTACCCCATACGGCAGCCTCACCAGCAGGCGTTGCTCGTTAAGATAGGTTAGTCAAAACTGCTCAGTCCTAAAATAACATTAAAGTCTCTTTATTCTGTGTGCTTGTTTGTGTTGCTGCAGCTTTTCTTTATTTTGGACCAAATTAAACCCTTCCCTTTCCTTCCCTTTCCCCATAGATCTCAGCTTGCTGTCGAGGATCCCAGGGCGGCCTTACAAGGAGCCTGTAGAGATAAAAGTGGAGCGGGAAGACACTCAAGACCAAGACAGCAAGGACTTCAGTAAGCAGAGCAAGTCCAAGAGGAAACATAAGGTAGAGCCAGTTTCAGAGATTCTTTTTTTTTTCTTAATGTCCATTAGATTTCTTCTTTTTTTTTACCCAGAATAAAAATATAGCTGATCCAGATATCATATTGTATTATACTAATGAGTTTGCCTTAAGAGAAAATGAATTAAATCCATATAACCAACCGATAATGCAAATGTGTATAAATTGGACAGCTGTGGCTGAGTGGTTAGAGCAGTTGTCCTCCAATGCAAGAGTTGGGGGTTCGATTTCACCAGAAGTGTCCCTGGGCAAGACACTGAACCCCTCATTGCCTCTGATGTGTGTCCCACCGGTGTCTGAATGTGATAAAGCACGGATTATTCTTTGTATAGATATAGTAGAGCGCTGTATGATGGATAAATGAGGACACAGATTGTATTGTAAAGTGCTTTGAGTATCTTGATCAGAAAGAACGATGCTACAGTCCATTAACCATATTATTTTTCTCTTGTATCCTTAGAATGACGAGGACGGCACAAAGCTGGAGAGTAAACGATTCAAGTCAGATGACAAGTCTCTATCTCATCATAAAAACAGCAGTAAAGAGTGCGTATTTCTTTTTTTGGTCTTAATATGGTTCCCCTCAACACTGGCCTTCACTGTGCTTTTAGCAGCACTTTATTTTGTAATGGAAAAATACAACTTTTATGCCTTTTTTAAACAAATGGAAAAATAAACCCATTAACCTTTATTGTGCCAAGTCAAATCGCAGCCTAAGAGCTCACTGATGTGGCCTTTTTATTACAACTCAACCCTTTAAAGCCACACCTGCTAATAAACTTCATTCTGTAGTCTGCTTTTCTCTTGGTTGTGAATTTCTTTTAGCGTTAATATTTAATCTTTTGAATGTCAATATTTTTTATCTCAGATGTTGCGCTGCGGGTAAACAGGACCATTTAAATGTTAGTGTGCTTAACGCAGCTATCGCTCACATGTAACCAGGTCAAAGCGGCCTTTGGAGAAGAAAGAGGAGCCTGTCCCATCTCCGTCTATGTCAGGTCCTCAGCGGACATCTAAGGGAGACCATCCAAATCGGAAGGGGACAGCCAGTCAGTCCTCCAGCTTGCTGTCAAGTGCGAACGGAAGCAGAAAAGAGGGGAGTCACAGCACGAAAAGCAGCTCCACCTCCAAACACAGAAAAGGAGAGGACAAGGGGCGCAGCACACGTGATGGAAAGGCTGATGTGAGTAACTGTATTGTGGCAGGGTTGTGTTTGTGAACACCTTTGAAACACTCCGTGTTGAGAAACGTGAACTCAGTCCTTCATCTCCCCATCTGTGCAGCATGTTAACTCGAGCACCTGAAATAATACAAGCACAGAGAAGAAACAAAAGTTATTGCTTTAACTTGAGAATTCTCCAGAACATAATGTGTGCTGTGTTTTACTGTTCTTGTTTTTAGTTTCCTACGCCGCCTTACAACCTAGCTGTTTTTTTGTTACATTTTCTTTTTAATACCATTTTATTATCACTTGTTTTTTTTTTGTTTTTAAACCTCAATTTGTATGCATCCTTTATGATTGTCTATATTTGTCTTTAGCCCTATTTGCACTGGATTAGTTTTTATTTTTATTTATTTTTATTTATTTAGACATTTATTCATTTCATTAATAACAAAATAACTATATACAAACATATAACAATAAAGACTAAAAACAAACAGATATGGCTATATAAAAACAACTCAACCCTTTAGTCTATCACGCACCTCCTGT